GCCTCTGGCCCACACACCAATCCGGCCGCTCGGTAGCCCTGGCACTTTCCAGTCCTTCGCGTCTGCGAAAGCTAGGCCGCCCAGGGTCTCTGGGGGGCAGCCGCCCACCCCCTCATACCCGAAGGTGTTCCCCAGACGCCAGGAAACCCCTTATCTGGTTTCCTGGGGTCGGAGAACTGCTAAGAGGATGCCGCCCGGTGAATTTCAGGGATGCAAGGTAGACCCCAGATTTGGGAGGAGAGAGAAAGAAAGAAAGGAGGAGTAGGAGGGAGACAGGAGACACAGAATATCTGCAGGGTATTCTGTGAGAGGTGACCCAGCCATCTGCAGGGTAGAGCACACCCACCCTCCACACCCTTCCAGCTAACAGGACGTCAAATCAGCAGAGGCTTCCTGGCAAAGCTGGGCTTCCAGGATACTAGGTTATGTCGACCTGGGAGGTGTCAAAACAAGTGCATGAGGCCTGGCGCGGTGGCTCACGCCTGTAATCCCACCGCTTTGGGAGGCTGAGGCGGGCGGAACACTTGAGCTCAGGAGTTCGAGACCAGTCTGGCCAACATGGTGAAACCCTGTCTCTACCAAAAAATACAAAAATTAGCCGGGCGTGCTGGCGAGCACCTATAATCCCAGCTAACCTCTGAACCTGGGAGGCAGAGGTTACGGTGAGCCAAGATTGCGTCACTACACTCCAGCCTGGGTGACAGAGTGAGACTCTGTCTCAAAAATGAAAACAAACAAACAAAAAAACCAAAAACACACGTTCATGAAGGACACAGATGATCCTGTACAAGGGTCCCAGCCCAGCTGGAGCAAGTGGGAGGTGTCCTGTTGGTGACTTAAGCCAGGGCAGGGGCCTCGGTGGAGAGCTGAGCTCCAGGACTGTAGCATGAAGAGGGTGGGACCCTGAGGGTGAAAACAGCCATTCCTCAGCTCCCTCTCCTTATAAGAAGAGTCTGGCCTTGTCACCTCTGTCGGCCAAGTCCCCTCCTCATACGGCCTCCATGAGCTTTCCGCCTGGATGTCTCATCCCTCCAGACTCACAGCCACTTTTTACCCCATTCCAAGAAACCAGCGTCCTCTGCCCCATCACCAACCCCATTGCAAACTCCATATGCACAGTTCACTCGCTCCTGGAAATCAGGGGGCCTCCATGCACAGGAAACCGATAATGCAACTTGGCATCGGGTGAACTGGGGTGGGGGAGTGGGGACGTTGGGCCCATTTGAGGTTGCAGAAATGGAAGGCAGAGAAAAATGGCAGAGCTGAATGTCATGCTTTGGCCTCCAGATTGGATCATTCTAGGCCTTATCTTCTCCCTCAGTCTACCAATGATCACCCGTGTGAACCCCTTGTGGCATGACACCAGCCTGGTTACCTGTCTACCCACCCACACCCAGTGCCCCCTTCTAAATCACATCCACCTACGCAGATCCCTGCCCTCCTATTTATTTATTTTTGAGACAGGATCTCACTCTGTCACCCAGACTGGAGTGCAGTGGCATGATCATCACAGCTTCACAGCTCACTGCAGCCTCGACTTTCCAGGTTCCAGTGATCCTCCCACCACAGCCTCCCAAGTAGCTGGGACTAGCAGCCGAGGTGGGTGGATCATTTGAAGACAAGAGTTAGAGACCAGCCTAGCCAACACGGTGAAACTTTGTCTCAACTAAAAATACAAAAAATTAGCTGGGTGTGGTGGCACATGCCTATAGTCCCAGCTACTCAGGAGACTGAGGCACAAGAATCACTTGAACCCGGGAGGCGGAAGCTGCAGTGAGCCGAGATCATGCCACTGCACTCCAGCCTGCACAACAGAGTGAGACTCCTTCTCAAAACCAAAACAAAACAGTCTGGGCACAGTGGCTCACGCCTGTAATCCCAGCTCTTTGGGAGGCCGAGGTGGGCAGATCATGAGGTCAGGAGTTCAAGATCAGCCTGGCCAATATGGTGAAACCCCCATCTCTACTAAAAATACAAAAATTAGCCGGGCGTGGTGGCACGCACCTGTAGTCCCAGCCACTATGGAGGCTGAGGTTTCAGTGAGCTGACATCATGCCACTGCACTCCAGCCTGGGTGACAGAGAGAGACTCCATCTAAAAATAAAATAAAATAAAATACAAAAAAAAAAAAAAACCCGGATCACCTGAGGTCAGGAGTTCGAGACCAGCCTGGCCAACATGGAAAAAACCTGTCTCTACTAAAAATACAAAAATTAACTGGGTGTGGTGGCACACACCTGTAGTCCCAGCTACTTGGGAGGCTGAGGCAGGAGAATTGCTTGAACCTGGGAGGTGGAGGCTGCAGTGAGCCGACACCACACCACTGCACTCCAGCCTGGGTGACAGAGAGAGACTCCATCTAAAAATAAAATAAAATAAAATACAAAAAAAAAAAAAACCCGGATCACCTGAGGTCAGGAGTTCGAGACCAGCCTGGCCAACATGGAAAAAACCTGTCTCTACTAAAAATACACAAATTAGCCAGGCATGGTGGCATGCACCTGTAATCCCAACTATTCGGGAGGCTGAGGCAGGAGAATCACTTGAACCTGGGAGGCGGAGGTTGCAGTGAGCCGAGAGCGTGCCATTGCACTCCAGCCTGGGTGACAGAGCAAGACTCTGTCTCAAACAACAACAACAACAACAACAAAAAAAAAATAAAACAAGTAGCTGGGACTAAAGGCTACCCCACCGTATCAGGCTAATTTTAAAATTTTTTGTAGAAACAGGGTCTCGCTATGTCACCCAGGCTGGTCTCGACCTCCTGGGCTCAAGTGACGCTCCCACCTCAGCCTCCCGAAGAGCTGGGATTACAGGCAGGAGCCACCTCACCCAGCCTCTCCTGCCTTCTGACTATGATGCAAGGGTTCCTCCAGGGTACATGAAACCCACCCTGTAATTAATTGGGATCTGGACTCTGCCCTATGATAAAAACACTCCCAAAACCTCCATCAACAGAGGGATGAGTAACATGAATCAAACTGTCCCCTACAATGGAATGGAACTTGGCAATAGAAAGGAACAGACTACTGCTACTCTCAAAACAGGCACTAATCTCAAAAGCACGCCAAACAAAAGCAGCCACAAAAAGCACTCACTGTATGATTCCATTTATAGAACATTCTAGAAAATGCGAGCTCATCTGTAGTGACAGACAGCACATCAGTGGTTGCTTGGAACCGGTGGGGGAGGGACACTGAATGAACTACCCAGTGTAGCCACTCTTAGGCTTGTGACTCTCAGGTGAGGGCCAGGCAACTGTAGTCCCTGCTACTGGGGAGGCTAAGACAGGAGGATCCCCTGGAGCCCAGGAGTTTGAGGCCAGCCAGGGAAATATAAGGAGACCGCATCTCTAGAAGAAAAATAAATAAATCACAAATATGTGTGTGTGTGTGTGTGTGTGTGTGTGTGTGTGTACACATATTTTTTTTTCTTTTTTTTTTTAAGACAGAGTCTCAATCTGTCACCCAGGCTGGAGTGCAATGGTGTGATCTTGGCTCACTGCAACCTCCACCTCCCGAGTTCAAGCAATTCTTCCACCTCAGCCTCCCTAATAGCTGGGATTACAGGTATGCGCCACCACGCCCAGCTAATTTTGTATTTTCAGTAGAGATGGGGTTTCTCCATGTTGGTCAGACTGGTCTCGAACTCCTAACCTCAGGTGATCCACCCACCTCAGCCTCCCAAAGTCCTGGGATTACAGGCGTGAGCCACTGCACCTATATAATATATATATATATGTGTGTACATGTGTGTATATATATATATTTTAAACTGTGAGGGGCTTTTTTGT